TGTTTGTTTTTAGATGTTTGGCATTGTTCTCTTCACAAGAAAATTATTAAAACGTCATTAGCTTTCTTTCTTTTACACCACTTTTTAATCTTCAGTTTTTCTTTATTTTACCTGTGATGTGATGTCGTCGTCACGTCTTTATTTTAATATTATTGTCATCAGCTTGTTGACTTTTCTCCTGTTTTTAATTTCTCTAATTATATTGCATCACGGTCTTAACTGCTGTTGTATCTTTTCTGATTACTTGTATTTGCAGTTCCTTCATTTGCTTTGTCTGTCAAAGCACTTTGTAAACATCTGGTTTTAAAGGTGCTATATAAATGAAGTTATTATTCATATTATTGTTAGGCTTCACTGAATGGTTCCTTCTCTTTATTTGCCAACAGGCGGTGCTACAGTTGTGCTGCAATGATACATTTGCCAACCAGCAGGCCTTTCAGCTTCATTTGAGCTACATTACAAACCAGGATAAAGAGGTCAGTGCTCATGTTGCATCTCAATCACTCTTGAAAATCACTTGATAACCCCGGTGATGCATTGGCTCTGACTACCCATCTGTCGAAACTGTTTGGATGTGGGGAGGGGGCGGGCATTAAGGGCCCTGTGATAGAGTGGGTAGTATCAATGTTGTCACTACCTGGTTAGCTTACATACACAGAGCAAGTGTATAGTGGTTTATTTGAAATCAATTAATTTGTATTTACATGGGCTTTTGTTTGTTTGTTTTCTTAAGACTTTCAATCCTGAGGTCAAAGCTTCAGTTACAAACTTCATCAGGCTTGTTCACACTCTGGTAGAAGGTCACTGCCAGAAGGATGACTTCTACCAGGTGAGTGGGCTTGTGCTGTGTCCTTTGCTTATTTCTGTGAGAAATATCTTTCTGGAATATATAATAAATCTGGAGTAAGTGCTGCTGTCCAGGTTGTTCATTTTATTCCTATTGACCTGAACATCTCTTTAAATGTAACACTTAAGATATCATGTACATTCCATTGGTCTTAAAGTAAGTTTTGAAAATGTAATCATTACTTTTCTCTTTTCTCTTTAGAACATTTTCCCAACACTGTTTGGTCCTAAATATGACTCAGCTCTACAGGCTCTAATGAAGAAATTCCTCTTCAACCTCCAGGAGCTGCTGCCTGTTCCTAATTTTGAACAAGTATGTACCCGACAAATTAAGGGACCATTAAAACTAATTTTAAAAAACAACTTAAATGTTTAAGACAAGAGTTTCAGTTTTCTCAGCCTCACCTAATTCAGAAGCAAAATGTTTGTAAGTAATCACAGAAAAGTCCTATACAGTATATCATGTACAACATGCAGTGGGTGTTTGTGTCTCTGTCGTCATTTACTTGTTAGCTAATCATAACAATATTGAAGCATATTTTTGTGGTAACTGGAAAGGTAAAAATATTTTCGATCACCTGTACTCTCCTGGTTTTTTCTGTTTGGAAGATGATGAAAGGCACTCTGGGGCAGGTAGAAAAGCTTGTTCTGTTACATAAGCACCAAAAGCAGGTTGAGGGAGGCTGTTAAATGAACGAGGATGATAAGAGTTGATGAATCTTAAAATGCATGAATAGTGTTTGTGATTATATCTGAAATTGATTCATCACTTCTGCGTCTTTTAAAGACTTCCCTTTGGCTTAGTCTTTCCCCTTCCATCTTGAAAGAGTGTGTGGACCTCACGAACCAGCTGAAGCCACTTAGAACACTTATTCAGCATCACAAACACCATGGGCACGAAGTTCCACCAGGTAGTACCAACAGGAGTTTAATGCATTCTTAACTTTCTTAAAGCTACAGTCGCTGAAAATAATTTGCATTTTGCTGGTCCTTTTTCTTCTAGCAGCTTCTTCCTTTGGGGATGATTGCATCCTTTCCAGCCTGTCATATCAACTACCAAACGTGAACATCGACAAAGGCGATGCAGTCGTCAAAACTGAATCCACATTTGATCCAGAAGATTTGCAGGCAGATAACCAATTGAGCAGCGAGTCAAAACAAGATGAGGTGTTATATTCCGAATTTGTGAAGAATGAGGAAGAACATGATGAGTGGTGTGCCAACGATTTAACTGAAGACCAGGGAGCATCTGTTGAAGTAATCCTACCATCCTTTGATGAAAACGAGTCAAGTGATGATAACCAAATGGACAAAAAATGTCTTCAATATTTGAAATCCGGACGATTTACGTCTGCAAAAAAATTCAAGTGTCATGTTTGTGGCAAAGATTTTAGTTCTCGCAGCAAACTAAAGAAGCACAAGATTACCCATAGTGCTCGGGTTACAACGAGAATGAGTCAGTCAGATTCTGCAAGTCAAAGGACCCTTTTTAACAACGTGAATTTACATCTTAAACTGAGAACGCGTGAGAATGACGCTTCTAGATTTGAGACTGAGCTACCATCGTTTGCAAGAGAAATAACACATAACCCATCAAATCAGAACTACCTTTTAAACTCTGAACTGTCTAATGAGGACTGCAGTCTTGTTTGTCATGTTTGTACCGAGGAGTTTGCTTGTCAAGAAAACTTTGACAAACACAAGAGGATGTGTGCGGGCAGAAGCAAAGGACGAGAAGAGATGGACCCACATTGTTCCTCAAGCTCGGCTTTTCACACTGAACCACATCCTGTTAATAAAACCAACAAGTCTGTTCCTTTTGAATCATCAAATGAGGAATCCAAGGATTTAACATCCTCTGACTCACTACAAGACCAACCATCTAAAAGAAGCAGTCGCGTCAAACAATGCTCCATATGCAGGGAAATATTTACTAGTTCTACTGACCTGATGAAACACATGAGAAGCCACACTAAACAGAGTCCTTACCTTGGTTCTAACAGTGGTGAAGACTTTGACAACTATGAAGACTGCAAGAAACCCCAGGAAAATAAATGCAAAGCTTCCAACCAGTCTTCAAAAGACAGTTCCATTAGCCATGAAAATAAAGTGAAACAGGAGATCGATGAGGTTTCCAGTGAGATAAGTCAGATCCCCAAAAAACGAAGAAATGCTTGTAAACCAATCCTGACGTGTCCACAATGTGGCCAGCGTTTTACTTACTGCAAGAGATTTGAGGAGCACCTGAAAAAGTGTTCAGAGGCAGCCTCTCAAACAAAAGAGCAAACCAACACAAACTATTTCATCATCAATGGCTGTGATTTCTTTTCAGTTGACAACACTACTGAGATCAATGCTGAGAAAAGTTCTGAAACAATGGAAAGCCAAACTGCAACTTCATCCACAGCAGACAGCAGATGATGCAGAGGGCTCCCAGTGTAAAGATGGCACCTTTAAGTGCACCATGTGTGAAAAAGACTTTTCAAACATTGTGCTCATGCAAAAACATTACTCTGAGTCCCATGATGTCAGAGGCCCATACCCCTGTACTTTGTGCAAGACCACTTTTACCAGGTTGGCTGAATTGGTTCACCATCAGCAAAACAAACAGTTGTTCCAATGCCCTACCTGCAAGAAAGGATTCAGAACTCCAGAAGAAATAAAAAGACATACAAATGTACATAAACCAAGAGTAACAACAACGTCTTTCAACTGTGAAACATGTGGGAGAAGCTTCAAATTTCGCGTTAATCTGATTATGCACCAGAGAAAGCATAGAGAAAGGCCACCCAATGTTTGTTCCTACTGTGGGAAAAAGTTCAGCTCAAGGGACACCCTGAAAGCGCACTTGGTGAGGCATACAGATGGTTACCCATGCCCAGAGTGCGGGAAGGTATTCTATCAAAAAACATTGCTAACATATCATCTGTATAAACACAAAGGGCAAGAGCCGTACCTCTGCGACACGTGTGGGAAAGGATGGCCGAACGCGGCTCTGCTCAAGGTTCACATGATTAAACATAGAGAGGATCGGCCATTTAAGTGTGACGAATGTGGTGTGACTTATAAGTGGGAATCAAGTTTGATCTCTCACCACAGATCCAAACATATAGGCTTGCGGCCATTTGTGTGTGAGGTTTGCAGCAAGGCCTTCAGAATAAACAGTGAACTGAAAAAACACATGATGGTCCACACAGGGGAACGGCCTTACTCTTGTCCAATGTGTGGCAAAAAGTTTACAAAAGGCTATAACTTAAAGAAGCACAGAGAAAAGCCATGTCTATAGGAAAAACCTGTTTGTGAGCTGGTTTAAAATTGATCATGATGCATGTGCCATACTATATTCTTCATCTATTGTATATAGGTATCAATGTGTGTTTGTTCATTTAACCAATGTGTATGACTGACAGTTTTAGTACTTGACCTGCAGATTTTTAAATAAAGACACAAAATCTGGAATTGTGATTGATGTTCATTAATAGAGAATTAGTTTAATAAGTCTTTTTCAAATGGTAATTATGTCTATTTAAGGTTACTCTCAGGACTTAAGTGGCTAATTATTTATAATTATACAGGATGATTGTAGTTATTTAATTGGATCACTTTGGGTAGACTACGTAGCTTTGTAAATACAGTATATGTGACTGTAACTCTATGAAAACACAGTAGGTGGCAGTAATGCAATCATTACAGATGCCGACCGCCATTGAGACATCATGAGAAGAAGAAGCACCGAGCCTTCTGACGAGAAACAGCCAGACGTTTCCTGTGGCAGCATTTTTGCAGAACTCCATAACGACAAAAAATGAGCAAGACACTGTCGGACCACGGTGAGTGTTAAACCATGAATTGAATTCTGTCGGCGTTTCTGTTGTGGATAGTTAAAATGTTAGGGGCGGAAACGCCATGTTTAAGCGCCAGAGCCTGACATGAACGGATACGCTGCGGGATATTGTTGCATTGCTGTAAACGCGCTGTGTATTCTCACTCAAGCGCAATATATGACAGTACAGTTACCTCGGAGTTTACCATTTGTGTCCTCAGGTTTCCCTCCCCTCTCCTCTTTCCGCCTCATCGTCCCTCCTCTGCAGCTTGTGTCTGCAGCTCTGTTGGAGATAGTGAAGCAGGGAGCTGTGATGTATTTCGGTCTGCTGGAGGAGTTTATCACCTCAGTGTTGGAAACAGCCCCTGAGCTGCTCACTGACACAGAGAGAGTCCAACTAGTGATTGGTCTTCGTGCAAAGGTAAGACAACTTCAAAGAGTTTTTTAATGGTCCTGTGATGTTGTAAAGAAAAAAATGTATTTTAAACGAGGAATTTGTGAAGCATGGTGCAAATAATCACCTCTCCTGTAAAAATGAGGTTGTATTCTAGATTTTTTTTTTCCATTACACTAAGAGGTTAAGTTATAGTGATTAATTAAGGTATGTGATGTTGTTAATATATAAGTTAAAGGACATAACCACATTTTGATGCTAAACAAAAAAATGTCAGCATTCTATAGTTACTAAAAGTTACTAAAAAGTAACCTTAAGACTGTAATCATGATGCCCTAACAGTGTAGAGCAGAAATGTGATCAAACTAGTTTAAATTAGCTTTATCTTCTCCAGCTAAATAGCGTTAATAATGTGTTTATGAAACACATTTTATAATACTTGTAGAAATGGATTTTAATTTTCCCTCCCATTTGCCTGTGATGCTTTGGTCTTTTAAAGCCAAAGTAATAACATTCATGTTATAGAATAAGATTAATTGTGTGTATAGTCGACTGATATGGTATTTTTGGGGTCGATACTGGTTTTAAAGAGAGAGAGAAATGTTCCCATACCTTATTACCTGCGCTGACCTTGATAACCATTTCAAAATCCAACCAATTCAGCAGCCACAATCATCACTCATCTGTCAGACCACCAACAAAGCAAACGCGTCTTACTGATTTTTTTTTTTTTTTTTACCGTCTGAAGGTCTCGTCTCAGTCATAATATTCCAACAAAAAAACAGTCCTTCTGCATCAGAACGATCCAATTTCAGTAATGATTAAATCCAAACACATTACATCCATAAAGATTCACGGATTCATTAAAAATGTCCATCACTGTTGAACTAAATGAGAGTGGAGGCTTCAGGATAGTGGAGGTGTTGCCAAGGAGACTGTCGGCTGTCGGTCTGTTGGTGAGCGGTCGCTGCCCTAGTCTTTGCGGTGTGTCCAGCTCTGTCGCTACCGGTTGGCCCCAGTTGGCCTTTTTTTGGCCCACTCTACATGTTGAATCTGAGGAGTCGTCGCCGGCGCGGTTGGGGATAGGAATCTCTCTGATTGGCTGTTCAGCTAAGCGAAACAGGAGAGCCAGTGCACAGGAAGAAATACGGAAGCGCCTCTTCTATTCTTGTTCCACTAATAAAAGACCAAAGGCTGACAACGCCAGTTCCATTTTCAACTTTTTATCAGACCTTATTCTCCATTAGAAGTACCTATGTTACGAGAGTTGTGCAGCAACAGTGAGAAAATTGTCTTCTCGTATCACAACAACGGTTTATTTATCCGCGTTCTTCCTCGTCCTCTTCCGGTTTCCCCTTTTTGGAATGACGATTACAGACTACCATGGAGAGTCTGTAATGCCTCTTGCGCAGAATGTACATGGTTGTTTGGCCATTGACTAAAGTCTTTGCGGTGTGTTCTAGTGCAACTTTTTGGCCAAGATCAAAGGCGTCACCCACTACTTCCTGGCACTCTGCTTGGTGTGTCAGGGCCTTTAGGGTGCACTAACACTAGGCAAAGTTGTCCCGTACCGTGCTTCAGAACGATTGTCCCCCCTCCTCATTCCCCCACTGGCCCGCACTCACTGCTCCAGGACTAACCGGGCCTGAGCACAGTTATCTTTTGAACATGATGTCATTATACAACACATGCATGTCTTTAAGTGATCATGCAAAACCTGCTGAGTTTACAAGACAGGTGGACTCGAGAGAAAAAAATAGGGACGTACTGTCGGGTCCGCGTCTGCACATCGGAGAACAAGTCAGCTACTTTACAGACTTTGTGTCTTATTTTGAGTCATTTTAGTCAGATACAGCCAGAACACCCCGGGATTTCACCATAATGAAAGCTGTCAATGTTGTGTACCCATGCTTGTGCTCGTGCCCGTGCATGAACGGTGTACCGTGCCGAAGCACACCTCTTCAAGCGTGCCAGGGCCAAGGAAGTGCTTGAGCATAGATCAGAGCGCTCACACTAGTCAAACGAGCTGGACTTCAGAGGTGAAGCATGCTTGGTCATGGTACTGATTGCCTAGTGTGAGTGCACCTTTTTTCTTACCCTACATCAAATGTTTGCATACTGTACTACTGTTGTGATACTGTACTACTGTTGTACTGTCAGATGTTTCGCATTGCCAGTCTCTACAGGAAAGTTAGTGAAAAACCAGGCTTCACTGAATGGTTCTGTTTTTCTAAATGCCAACAGGCGGTGCTAGAGTTGTGCCGCAATGATGCATTTTCTGACCAGCAGGCTTTTCAGCATCATCTGAGCCAAATAAATACCTTCATTACAAACCAGGATAAAGAGGTCAGTACTCTTGATGCATTTTCATCACTTTTAATTTCTTTGGGATTTACTTATTTGCATTTTTTTTGTTTTTGTTTTTTGCAAGACTTCCAATTCTGAGATGAAAGTTTCAGTTACAAACTTCCTGAGGCTTGTTCACACTCTAATGGAAGATCACTGTCAGAGGGATATCTTTTATAAGGTGAGTAAGACGGTACTATGTCTTCTGCTTGTTTTTGTCAAGTGACAAAACACAAGGGGAAACACTTTCAGTTCCTATCATTATATGCTGTTTGGTTTTGTTCCGGGTGGTTACTTTATGTCATATTGATTAAAAAATAGCTTTGAATATAGGATAGGATAGTATAGTACTTTATTGATCCCCAGAGGGGAAATTCGGGCGTTGCAGCAGCACAGACAAGTAAGGTCATACAAAATACACATTAAACAGAATAGATTAGATAAATAAAAATAGGGGGTATATACAAGTACAAAATGAATGATGAAGTTAACTATGCACCCTATATAACCTTCAAGATCTATTCTACAAATCTGCCTCAAAGTATGTTGTAAAATGTAATGAATTATATTCTCTTTAGAACATCTTCCCAACACTGTTTGGTCCTAAATATGACTCAGCGCTACAGGCTCTAATGACGAAATTCCTCCTCAATCTGCATGAGCTGCTGCCTGTTCCTAACCTTGAACAAGTAAGTACCTGACAAATGATTATCAACAACTAGCAATATTTTGTATTCTCTCTGAAATTGATTTATTTTCCTCTTCTGTTCCATTTCTAGACTTCCCTTTGGTTCAGTCTCTCTCCTTCTATCTTGAAAGAGTGTGTAGACTTCATGAACCAGTCTAAGCCACTTAAAACACTTATCCAGCATCACAAACACCATGGGCACAAAGTTCCTAAAGGTATAGTACCAACAGAAATCTTTTCAATTGTCTTGAAGCCACAGTTGCTGAAAATAATTGATGTTTTGTTTTGTTTTTCATAGCTTTGTCTTCCTCTGGGGATGATTGCATCCTTTCCAGCCTGTCGTATCACCTACCAAATGTGGACAAAGACAAAGGGGATGTAGTTGTCAAAACTGAACCCACATTTGACTCTGATGATTGGCAGGCAGATAACCTATTGAGCAGTGATTCAAAACAAGTTGAAGAAGACAATGTTAATGTGTTCTATTCTGAATTTGTGAAAAATGAGGAAGAATATGGACAGCAGTGTGTCAGTGATGTAACTGAAGATCAGGGAGCATCTGTTGAAGTAACAGTTCCATTTTTTGAGGAAAATGAGTCCAGTGATGGTGACCACATGGATGAAAAATGGTTCAATCACTTGGGAACTTGCAGTCGGACATCTAATGAGGACGGCAGTCTTGTTTGTCATGTTTGTACCAAAGATTTTGATTGCCAAAAACTCTTTGACGAACACAAGAGGATGTGTGCGGGCAGAATCAAAGGACAAGAAGAGATGGACCCACATGGTTCCTCAAGCTCGGCTTTTCACACTGAACGACTCCCTATTGATAAATTAAACAAGTCTGTTCCTTTTGACATGTCAAACATTGCACCCCAGGAATTAATATCCTCTGACTCATCACAAGAACAAACATCTAAAAGAAGCAGTCGCGTCAAACAATGCTCCATATGCAGGGAAATATTTACTAGTTCTACTGACCTGATGAAGCACATGAGAAGCCACACTGAACAGAGTCCTTACCTTTGTTGTTATTGTGGGGAAGACTTTGATAGCTATAAAGACTGCATGACACACCAGGAAGATAAATGCAGAGCTTCAAACCAGTCTTCAAAAGACAGTTCAATGAGCCATGAAAATAACATGAAACAGGAGATCAATGAGGTTTATAGTGAAATAAGTCAGAGCTCGACAACTGCAGAGGCACCACCAAACTCAAAGGCTTATAAACAACCTCTGACATGTCCAAAATGTTGCCAGCGTTTTACCTACCACAAGAGTTTTGAGAAGCACCAGAAAATATGTTCAGAAGCAGTTTCTCGGAAGATTAAGAAAACCAACACAATCAATTTAAATAATAATACTAGATGTGATATCATTTCAGTTGACAAGGCTATGGAGAGCACTTCATCCGCAGCAGTGGCTTCCAGTGAAATAAGTCAGAGCTTGACAACTGAAGATGCATCAGCAGACTCAAATGCTTACAAACAACCTCAAACGTGTCCAAAATGTGGCCAGTGTTTTACTTACTACAAGAGTTTTGAAAAGCACCAGAAAACATGTTTGGAAGCAGCCCCTCAAACAAAAGAGCCAACCAACACAAACTATTTCATCATCAATGGCTGTGATTTCTTTTCAGTTGACAACACTACTGAGATCAATGCTGAGAAAAGTTCTCAAACAATGGAAAGCCAAACTGCAACTTCATCCACAGCAGATGATGCAGAGGGCTCCCAGTGTAAAGATGGAACCTTTAAGTGCACCATGTGTGAAAAAGACTTTTCAAACATTGTGCTCATGCAAAGACATTACTCTGAGTCCCATGATTTCAGAGGCCCATACCCCTGTACTTTGTGCAAGACAACTTTTTCCAGGTTGGCTGAATTGGTTCACCATCAGCAAAACAAACAGTTGTTCCAATGCCCTGTCTGCAAGAAAGGTTTAAGAACTCCAGAAGAAATAAAAAAACATAAAAAAGTACATACTCCAACACCATGCAAATGTGAAACATGTGGTAAATGCTTTAAATCTCACTATCCTCTGATGCGGCACAGGAGAACACATAGAGAACAGCCACCTGTTGTTTGTACATACTGTGGGAAACAGTTTGCTTCAAAAAACTACCTGAAAGCTCATATGGTGAGGCATACAGGTGGTTACCCATGCCCAGAGTGCGGGAAGGTATTCTATCAAAAAACATACCTTACATATCATCTTTATAAACACAAAGGGCAAGAGCCGTACCTCTGCGAAACATGTGGGAAAGGATGGCCAAATGCGGCTCTGCTCAAGGTTCACATGGTTAAACATAGAGAGGATCGACCATTTAAGTGTGAAGACTGTGGTGCAACTTACAAACGGGAATCCCATTTAATGGCTCACCGCAGATCCAAACATTTGGGCTTGCGGCCATTTGTGTGCGAGGTTTGCAGCAAGGCCTTTAGATTAAACAATGAATTGAAAAATCACATGAAGGTACACACAGGAGAACGACCCTTCTCGTGTCCAGTGTGTGGCAAACACTTTACACAAGCCTATAGCCTAAAGAAGCACAGAGAAAAGCCATGTATGTAGGAGAAATATATTGTGAGCTTGTACTGTTTGAAAACTGACAGTTATCCATGTACCATACCATATTCTACCACTACATACTGTACATGTACGTGTATATGTACATATGTGTCAATGTGTGTATGTTCATTCAACCAAGTTGTTTTGTATGATTGACAGTTTTAATAATTGAGCCACATAATTATAAATAAAGAATAAAAAAAAATCTTGAGTTGTGAATGATGTTCATTCATAAAGAAGAAGTGTCATATCAGAGTATTTTCTAAAGGGCACAGATCTCCAAGGTTTTTTAAAGGACTACAAGAAGCTCAAATCTGTTTGATAGAAGTAGGAGGAGGCTGACTCGCATTTTGGAAAATGTCTGGTGGATTTTTCGCAATGGAAAGAGCACAGACGGACATTGTTAGGAAAACCTGTGAAATAAGGAATTGCAGTGCTAATATATATATTACTGCAACATCTGTTTTGACATGCTTAGAAGACATAATATGGGCCAAATCCCCAACTTTTTTTAACAGGGTTGAATACAACCCCCCCCCCCCCCTCCCGGCATTTTGATTGGTGAACCAATGCAGAAGTTTTAATTTTGAACCGCTTTGCACAAATACTACATGGTCATTCGAGCTGGTGCAGGGCAGATGACAATTACCTTATATCTCCAAGACTATAAGCATTATCGAGCCTCTCACCCTCCTCCCTCAATCTAAGAACATGTTGATGTGGCTGAACCTAGGAATGAAACAGCCTTCTCCTTCCATTACAAATGAACAGATTGAACAAATTAGGGATATAGTCAGACGCCTTGTGCACCCAAACAGTGTGAGGAACCTCAGCCACATGCTGTAAGAAGAGCTGGTCATACAACCTAAAAGCATCATCTGCTCAGATTCAGCGACTACCTTGTTGGCTTTGAAAAATGAGACATAAAGGGCTCATCCTGACCTGTTTCAGGAGATTTTGTGCTGCTTGTTAAGGATTGAGAAAATAGGATGTTATTTTGAATTTCGATGCACCTCATCCTCAGCCAGGCCTCTGGCCCCTCAAGGCTGGCAACGCCCCCAGTGCAACCCAATTGTCCTTATGACCCTAATCATGGTGACGCATCTTACAGCTTCTGCTTTCCCTCAATTGGTCTCCATCTCCAATGCACAATCCACTGCTGTATGAGCCCCACACAATGACTATAAGTCAATGTTGAGGGACCTATCTTCCCCTATTTCTATAAGGAAGACCCCCATGAATATACAATGTTTAAGATGGCTCTTACCAGTCTTAATCTCCATGGGAAGCAAAAATCTATACCATATCCTATTGGACCACCTTAAATTACGCACTGCATGGCATTTTGCATCGGCCTATGATCATGACCCACAGCCCTATACAATCCTAAGCTGCTCTAGATCAACAGTATGGGCAGCCCCACCATTTAGCACTGAAATAGATAAACTCTATGATAAATCTCCCAAAGGTTCAGTCTGGTGTTTCCAATGCATTCCATAACTTTGCAGTCAGAGTCCAGTCCCTTGTAAGAATGCTGCAGGCTATGGGGCAGAGTGAGGGTGCGCCAAACTTGATGATGGCTTGGCTTAACATGCTTCTGTCAGAAGCCGCCAAGCAGCTGGGCTGATGCTTCATTAAGTTTCTAGGTTTCACCCTTCCTTAACCCACAGAAAACCTTCTTCATTAAAGAGGAATTCACCTCAACTAAACTCTCACTCATAGATCAGACCTATACAGTAGATAAGCTTCAAAAGCATGATCGGCACCCACAGGGTCTCCCACTATTGTCCTTTTTTAAGGTTCAGCCACTGCCTTTGATAGGAGCAGTCACCTTATAACCCCCACAAAGAAAGTCTGCTCCAGTCCACCAGGGACACCAGTATTCATCCATACGTTTGTTTGATATTTGATTCAGAAAGGTAAAGAGAAAGAAGATGGAAATGAGTCAGAAAGATGAAAAGTTAATGGTGATGTTGAATTACAGATGGAGGCATAGGAAGTGCAATATAGTGAGTTGGAGAGGTACAGCACGCTAAAACACTTTAAAACAGAATGTTAATGGTGTTCAGTAAATCAACTGATCAACAAACTAAAGCCTTCAAAGTGAGGAACATTGGCGGCAAGAGTGGAGAGAGCTTTATTCTTGGAGTCAATGGTGCTAAAAGGGTCATCTATAATGTTTCTTAAGAAATCTCAGAAGAAGAGTTCAAAGAGGGAGTACATGTATGAAAATAAAATGGATCGCTGAGTTCTAGTTTATGTTTTACTTTCTGCAGTGGAATGCTAGGAGTCTAGTAGCCAAGAGTCAGGAATTAGAAACATTTGCAGTTGCATTGAGAAACCTGATTTTATATGTAGACAGTAGACTTGGTAAAAGCCATGTTTAGAATTTGAAATGCCAGGGTATGAAATTATAAGTATAAGAGAGCTGGGGTGGGTGTGCCACATTTATTAAGAAAGGTTTACAACACAATAATATAGGGATTTATACTTACCTTAAATGTGTGACTGTTTAAGTATGGTCAGCGCAAGGAAAGATCTATGTAGTCAATCTCTATACCACTTGGTTACAGCTGAGAGTAGAATAACTGAAAGGTATATTGAATGAGGTAGAATCACCAGTAATATGGGTTGGTGATTTGAATGCACATAGGGCAGTCGGGGAAGTAACAAACTAGGCAGAAATGGGGCTGCAATGGAGGACTTTTCCAGACAAACATGTACTTGTTAACATGGTTTGAAATCATTCTGGGAGCAGTGTCATGCATAGAATTAACATTTACATCAACCGAGCTTGCTTTAGCTATCATCCCTGATGGAGAACGTTTCCCACCCCCTGCATGGAACTGTAACAGCTCTGGGCAGCTCCTTCAGCAGCAGGCTTCACCACCTGCAGTGTCAGAAGGAGAGATACTGCAGGTCCTTCCTTCCCGCTGCAGTCAGACTGTTTAACCAAGCCTGCTCCCAGTAGATCACAAAACACACACACAACTGGACAATTCACTCTGACTTTGTGCAATAATAATGTTATATTAATGTTATATTATGTTTATCAAACCACTGTGCAATAACATGTTACACTTTATGTGCGCTGTGTGCATGTCTGTGTTACACTGAATATTATGGACTACACTTTTGTCAAATAGCTGAGCTATTTCTTATTTTTTTTAATCTATTTTTTAGTATCAATTTTTTTGTACATTCTTAATTTTTCTTTATATATTTAAATTGTACTGTGTTCACTTTTTGTTTGCAATCTTTGCTCTTTGCTGCTGAAACAATGTATATTTCCCTGTTGTGGGATAAATAAAGGATTATCTTATCTTATCTTATCTTTATTGGGGAATGTGATATAATGGATAGATACCCAATGGAAACTGATCATGTTCCAATACTAAGCAGCTTTGGGAAAGCATCTATTAAAGAGCAGAATAACAATTTTCTGTAAAGTGCCCAATGGTGGTGAAACCTTATTTGAAGATGATGGGGCCATAACTAAAAGTGGTTAAAATTTAGACCATATTCATAGACAACAACAGCAGGCACTGGATCAAGCAGTAGCATGGGAAGAAGAATGGGTTTTCAAAATCTCAGTAGCAAAATCTGAGTTTGTACCTGGTCTTTGGTTGGTGTGAGACTTACGACCCGCCTCAAGCTCTCAGCCTGTTGTTAGGTTGCCTTAAAGTTAGGTTGAGACAGCAATTCAGCAAGGCGACCACCATCGATGGGAATCCAAAGCCCCTTGCAGTAACAGATGGGTGACGTCTCTCAGGCTTTGTCCATTAATATTTACAGTCTATGGCCTTGCCATGTTGTAAGAAGAGCTGGTCATACAACCTAAAGGCATCATCTGCTCACATTCAGCTACTACATTGTTGGCTTTGAAAAATGGGACATAAAGGGCTCACCCTGACCTGCTTCAGGAGATTTTGTGTTGCTTGTTAAGGATTGAGAAAATACAATGTTATTTTGAATTTCTATGGATATCTGGCCACTCAGGGATTGAGGGAAAATACATTTTTTGCCAAAAGTCATTGCTAAAAGAAACTGTTGATTTGAAGGTTTTGCTGGAAATTTTTTAATTTTTTAGTGTTTGTATGTAAAATTACAGCAACAATGGCTAAGACTTGGCCATTGTGGCTTCTCTTAATGTTTATAGGCAAGCATCTAGACGCATGTCAGTGTGGGCTTTGGAAACTGTTATTGATTAATTACTTTGTAATAGTTAAATCAATTAAAGATGACAATTATTCAGAGACAGATCTGGGGTTTTCTTATCTCTCTTTAAAATCTATCCTTTACTCTGAAGCGGAGTTCCAACCTATTGGTAGAGCCAGACCCGCCTCTCCCTACATGAAGAACACCCTCTGTGCATAGGGCCCCCTCATCATCTATAGGGGCCTCATGTTTGCACAAAAACAATTCTCTGGGGTGGTGTGTGCAATATGAGAAATAATGCCAAGGTGTTAAACATCCAGCTTTCGCACACTTAAACTTTACCTGGGAGTCACAGCTATATAGTACGACTTAATAGGCCTATATTTATTATTAGGTTGTTGTCTGAGAAATTAGGCATCCAATCACACGCTCGCTCTGCCTCTCCCGCTCCTGTTCATAAATAAAAATCCGCCAATGGGGCGCCACTTGGGCAATGGGCAGACCTGGGTAGAGAGAGGTCAGAAAATGTCTTCATTCAACTGCCTGTACCTAAAAATATAATAAAGGCTACAAATTATAGAGGGCGGCATTTCACTTCCAAGTGTACAGCTTGCCGGAATTCCACAAGAAGACGAAGAAGAAGCAGGGGGGAAAAAAACAGCCAGCCAGGCGTTTCTTGTGGCTGCATGTTAGCAAAAATCCATCACGACTAAAATGAGCAAGACATTGACGGACCGTGGTGAGTGTTTAACCATAAAAAATGCTGTCCGCATTTGGATAGATAAAAAGAGAGAGGTAGAAAGCGATGTGTTAGCGTCACTGATATTAACGCCGCGGGACGTTGCATTGCTGTAAACGTGCCATGTATTTTTTTTTTTTTTTTTTTTCCTCAAGCGTGTTATGACAGTACAGTTACCTCGGAGTTTACCATTTGTGTCCTCAGGTTTCCCTCCCCTCTCCTCTTTCCGCCTCATCGTCCCTCCTCTGCAGCTTGTGTCTGCAGCTCTGTTGGAGATAGTGAAGCAGGGAGCTGTGATGTATTTCGGT